GTTGAAAAAAGTAGGTCAAGTTAGAGCAGAGAAAATAAATGATAGTCACAAAAATATATCTTCTCAGCTTTGCATCGAAGCTAAAACTTAAAATATAGTAAAATAATTTTAATACGAATAAGAAATTTCTTCTTATAAGGGGCGACTAAAATTANTAAGAAATTTCTTCTTGCAAGGGGCGACTAAAGTGATGGGATCCTTGATCTTTATTGAAGTTATTGAATCTAAATGAGATAAAAATCAAAGCAGTTAAAAATTTATACTAACTTAAAAAGAATTAAGAAAAAATGCAAAAAATTCATAGCCATACGCGTTTTGGAACCTCGTACCCCAAGCGTGTAAAACATAAGTTTTACCAACTCGGCAACCGTACGTCGATACCGTCGATTGAAAAAATTGGCTATTTAAGCTAGTTCAAATTTCAAAGTTATTTTTCTCGACTTAAAAGAAACAAACAAATTTAAATAAGTTTAACTTTCTATACTATATTAATTTTTTATTTATATAATATTTATGAAAATCTGTACTCCCCTTGTCAGGTATTTTAAAATAAAATAAAATACAAAACCCAGAATTTTAACACAAAAATAGCATATTTTTGAATACGGTAGTCATTTTTACCATGAAGACAAATCCAGAGGTCAAATTTTTTTTTTTCACATTAAAGTATATTACATAAGCTTTAATTTAAGATATATTTAAAAGTGTCAGTATTTCCGGAATACTTTCAAAAATTAAATTGAAAATATCGTAGTAACAATACGCATGTTTAAAGTTTTGACCCCCCTTGTTAAAGGGGTATGATCCGATTTACAAAAAAAGCGTGCCAGATGAAAGGGGTATATCAATATTTATTATAAAAAAATAATAATATAGATCCATACATTTTTCCAAAAGTTATATAAAATATAAATTAAATAATATAACATATAAAATCGAGATTTTTTTCACGGAAATCGTACGTTTTTCTTTAACTTTGATGTCCGTTTTCACCACGAAGACAAGTCCAGAGGTCAAATTTTTTTTTTTCAAATTAAAGTATATTACATAAGCTTTAATTTAAGATATATATAAAAGTGTCAGTCTTTCCGGAACATTTTCAAAAGTTAAGTTGAAAAAGTTCTACTTTCTATACGCATTTTAAAAGGTTTGCACCCCCCCTGTATAAAGGGAAAATGTCCGATTTAAAAAAAAAGTATGTCGAATGAAAGAAGTATATATAAAGTATTTATTATTAAAAAATAGAATTGCTTCATGTATTTTTTAAAAAGTTATAGCATCATAATATTAAAAAATGTAAAATATAATATCAAGAATTTTTTCAAAAAAATAGCATATTTTTGCATACGGTAGTCATTTTTACCATGAAGACAATTCCAGAGGTCAAATTTTTTTTTTTCAAATTATAGTATATTACATTAAATTTAATTTAAGATATATATAAAAGTGTCAGTCTTTCCGGAACATTTTCAAAAGTTATGTTGAAAAAGTTGTCATTTTGAATCCCCTTCTGTGGGCAGGAAAAGGGTAAAATTTATAAAAAAAATATAAAAAATGATAGGTAAATATCTAAGGTATCTATAAAAAAAAAAAATTATATTTATATGTTCATTTTTGAAAAAGTTACGCCACATTTTAAGTAAAAAAAATTGAAAAAATATCGAAAATTAGCGATTTTTAAATTTGTAAGTTTTTGGGAGATTTCCCCTGTTTACGGGGAACGAGGGAAATTTTATCATTTTTTGATATATCAAAAGATATATAATTTGTGTGCTGATAATTTGAATTCTGTAACAATTATGCAACGTCGACAAAAAAATAAATACATGGATATATCTGTAAATATTCCATTTAATACAATTTATGAAAGCATTTAATTTATTTTTATGTGAAAACACATTTATTAGCATTTTATTTTTAGGATTATTTATAAAAAAACAAAAAAAATTTGTGTTATTCATCTATTATACATTTTTTCATTGTTCAAACGACCTTCTTTTTATAATTATCTACCAGAACATATTAAAAAATATTATATTATAATTATAAATTCACTTCTAGAAGTTGAATTCTTAAAAGTAATATTGTTACAAATCAGAGTATATTTTTATGTTAAAATCATGAACTATAGTTCGAATTTTATCATTTTTTTAGTGGGCATTGAATTAGCCCAACAGATTTCAATAAAAGAGGTAAGCATTTAACTTAATATCAATGTTTAATTATTTATTTAAAAAAATTATTATAATTGTAGAGTTATTTAAACGAATCAACCTGTAATGTAATAACTAAAAAGTTATATTATGTAGGATAAGTGGACTATAACAGTACACATGAGTGGTGTATTTACGATGAGGGCGGAATATGGAGGTTATGGCCATATTTTAATATGATTGGGGAGATAATTTGAAACATAATTTTGATAAATATATGATTAAACGAAGAATATTAAGAAAATTAAACATTTTAGCTTCGATGCAAAGCTGAGAAGGTATCGGTTTTACTATGATGTGTTATTTTTTTTTTTTTGTTACCACTTTTTCTCAGCTCTCACCGAACGGATTTCTTTCAACGATACGTCAAAAGATCACAAATCATATCTAATCGAAGACATTACCCTTAAAAATTTAAAAAATTTCCCTCGTTCCCCGTAAATGGGGAAACCTCCAAAAACATTACAAATTTTTTCAATTTTTTCAATTTTTTTTACTAAAAACTACCGTAACTTTTTCAAAAATGAACATATCAATATAATTCTTTTTTTATAGATGCTTGTTGTCTTTATCTATCATTTGGTATATATTTTTTGTAAATTTGACACTTAACCTGCCCACAGGGGGGGATTTAAAATGACAACTTTTTTACAAAAAATTAACTTTTTTAATTTAACTTTTGAAAATGTTCCGGAAGGTCTGACACTTTTATATATATTTTAAATTAAAGCTAATGTAATATCCTTTATTATGAAAAAAAAAATTGACCTTTGGATTTGTCAACATGGTAAAAATAACTACTATATTCAAAAATATGCTATTTTTGTGTTAAAATTCTGGGTTTTGTATTTTATTTTATTTTAAAATACCTCACAAGAGGATTACAAATTTTCATAAATATTATATAAATAAAAATTAATATAGTATAGAAAGTTAAACTTATTTAAATTTTTTTGCTTTTTAAAGTTGAGAAAATTAACTTTGAAATTTTAACTAGCTTAACCCTTAAGCAGGCGCGTATCTATTTTTAACGTTCATAGTCGCGTGGGGGTCTATTAGACCCCATTTCTAAAAAAGTATAAAATATGTATAAAAAAGTTCATTTTTTTAAATTCAAAGACATTATTTGTTACCATATGATATATAAATATAGATAACAATTAAAAAATAAATAAATGACAAAATTATGTATTACTAAAAATTATATTACGAAAAAAAAAAAAAACTTAATTTTCAACATTTTATTAAAAAATCGTGGTTTGTAAAAAAATAATTTAAATGCAAAATCTTATTTTTAAGACGGTAAATAAAAGCTTTTACTATTAGAAAATGTATATTTATTAATTATTTTGGAATTTCTTTGAGCTCAAACATGGCTTATATTTACTAGTTTTATGTGTATTTACATATACATAATCATTAATATTACAATACAATTTAATTTCACCGGCACACAGTTGTCTGTACTTTTGACCGGACCCACCTACAGACATGTATTTTGACCCGCTAAATCCGAATTTAAAGTCCGTTTGGTCCGGTCACCGTTCAGATTTGAGTAAAATGCAAAAAAAACAAAAATTAGGCAAAAAATTACGAAAAACTGCAGTCTCAGCGATGAAAAAAATTTTGTGGACCTTGATCAAGTATGATTTTTATGTATTTCAATTTACTGAAACTGAATCTGAACGTTGAGTCGTCAACATTTGAAAAATAGCAAAACAACCCAAAAAATTGCAATAAATCATGAAAAATTGATTTTGATCAAAAATATGTCAAAAGCATATTTTTGCATACAGTAGTCATTTTCTCCATGAAGACAAGTCCAGAGGTCAATTTTTTTTTTTCAAATTAAAGTATATTACATTAGCTTTAACTTAAAGTATATATAAAAGTATCATTTTTTCCGGAAAATTTTCAAAAGTTAAGTTGAAAAAGTTAATTTTTTGTAAAAAAGTTATCATTTTGAAACCCTTTCTGTGGGCTTGTAAAGAGACAAATGTTAACAAAAATATATATCATGATAGGTAAATATCTAAGATATCTATAAAAAAAAAAATTATATTGATTCGGTCATTTTTAAAAAAGTTATGGCAATTTTAAGTAAAAAAAATTGAAAAAATATCGAAAATTAGCAATTTTTAATTTTGTAATTTTTTGGGGGATTTCCCCAGCTTACGGGGAACGAGGGATTTTTATCAAATTTTGAGGTTAATGTCTTCAACTAGATACGATTTGTGATCTTTTGACATGTTTTTTCATCAAAATCGATTTTTCATGATTTATTGCAATTTTTTGGGTTGTTTTGCTATTTTTCAAATGTTGACGACTAACGTTCAGATTCAGTTTCAGTAAATTGAAATACATAAAAATCATACTTGATCAAGGTCCACAAAATTTTTTTCATCGCTGTGACTGCAGTTTTTCGTAATTTTTTGCCTAATTTTTGTTTTTTTTGCATTTTACTCAAATCTGAAGGGTGACCGACCCGGTCAAACGGACTCAAATTCGGATTCAGTGGGTCAAAATACATATCCGTAGGTGGGTCCGGTCAAAAGTACAGTCAACTTTTTTTTTTTTGTGTGCCGGTGTTATTATAATACGAGTAGGGTCAGGAGGGGTAAATGTGAATAATGGTAATTGTAAATGAGGCATCGATAATCAATGTGTCCACATTGCGACGGGATGTATTTATTACATGTTCAGTTCGTATTTGTTCCGTATCATCGAGTAGTGGAAATTCTCAATAGATTATTTATTTTTAAAACTTAATTGCACAGACGGTGGCAGATCCACATAATCCCAATTCCACAATATTATATCAATTATAACATTGCATTTACGATAAAACAATATTTTGAATAAAATAAAAGTCCAAAAAAAAATTATAACGTTCATAGTCGCGTGAGGGTCAATATGACCCATTTCAACTTTAATGGATATTTTAAGTCATACATTTTTTTTTCGAAGGTATTTATTTATAAAAATCTATTCAATATTACTATAAAAACCATCTTCTAAATTTATATCTATGTACACCTTTTATGCAATATAATATATCCATTTTTATTTATGTGGGGGTATGCTAGACCCACACGCGATTGTTTAAGGGTTAAATAGCCAATTTTTTCAGTCTAGGTTAGTGACGTACGGTTGCCGAGTCGGTNAATAATAAGTAAAGACATCAAGCATCTATAAAAAAAAAAAAAAATTTACTGATCCATACATTTTCCAAAAAGTTATAGCATTATTAAGTTAAATATATAAAAAAGAATTATTTTACAAAAATCGTAATTTTTTATTAACATTGATGTTTATTTTCACCGTAAAGACAAGTCCAGAAGTCAAAGTTTTTTTTTTCAAATTAAATTATATTACTTTAGCTTTGATTTAAGGTATATATAAAAATGTCAGACCATCCGAAACACTTTCAAAAGTTTAGTTGAAAAAGTTCTACTTTCTATATGCATTTTTAAAGTTTAAAACCGCCCGTATATAGGGAAATGGTCTGATTTAAAAAAAAAATATGTCCAATGAAAGATATATATAAATACTACTTCTCATGAAAAAATTTTATTGAACCATACATTTTTCAATAAGTTATAGCCTTTTAAAATAAAAAATGTAAAATATAAAATCGAGAATTTTCACACAAAAATAGCATTCGGTAGCCATTTTCACCACGAACACAAGTCCTGGGGTCAAATTTTTTTTTTCCATAATAAAGTACATTACATTAACTTATAAAATATGGCCTTTACAAAAAATTGAAAAAATTTCGAATATTAGCGATTTTTAAATTTGTAATTTTTTTGTAGGTTCCCCCCCATATACGGGGAACGAGGGAATTTTTTTCAATTTTTGAGGGTAATGTCTTCGACCAGATACGATTTGTGATCTTTTGACGTATCGTTGAAAGAAATCCGTTCGGTGAGAGTTGAGAAAAAGTGGTAACAGACACAAAAAAAAATAAATAAATAAATACATCTTAGTAAAAACAATACCTTCTCAGCTTCGCATCGAAGCTAAAAATGAACACCGTCGGTATTATTTCTCATTTTATTTTAAACTATCAAAATTGTGAATATCTAATAGTGACGTTTGGCTTCAATAGCCAAAACTTATTAATCTGATATTCAAATTTAAATAAGCTATGAATAATCAAAATACTTTTTTCAAGGACAGGCTTTTTCAGTTTTTTGTTCTCACACTTTATCTATTTGAATTTTTCTATTTTTGATATCGTTAAAAATGTAATATAATTTTAGAGAATATGACTGTTATAATTATATGTCCTAATATAAACATTTTATTTGCAATGAATTAAACCTGTTATTTTGTAATAAACCAGAAAGAAGAAGAAATAAAAAAGGTATAAATAGTTTCTAATTAACAAAAATGGTTAAAACAGTTATAATTGTGAAAATAGTGAATGTAAAGAAATTGAGAAGGTATAAAATCATGAATTGAGTAAGTCTCAATTCTTAACACTATATTTTTTTAGAAATATAATTTTATAATTAAATTTTACACTTATTTAATTTTTTTAAATCATTGTTGAATAAGTATTTTTTTGAACGAGTATATATTATTGCGAGATTGACATCAATTATTTGTAAATTTACTCTGGCCTGGGCAAAACAAGATTCGAAAAATAAATAAAAGCACAGTAATTTTTTACTATTAAATAAATATTTTAAGTTAGATTGGATTTATTTTAATTAATTTGGACTTTGGAATTTTTTTCAATCTAAAATCACTGAATTTTTTTTCTGATTTTTTTTTTTTTGAAATTAGAATAATTAAAAAAACCTAGCACAGTGGGGAAGTAAGTGTAAGTGTCATTTTATATTTTTTTAAATATTCTAATTTCAAAAAAAAAAATTAGAAAAAGATTCAGTGTTTTTAGATTGAAAAAAATTCCAAAGTCCAAATTAATTAAAAATAAGATTAAGTGATAGAAAGTGAGAATTTTATTTAGTGTGACGCAGATTTTGTGTATTTTAAAATTACCAAAAAAACTGGTTTTGATGGATAAAATGGCTTTTTATAGTCAGAATGGGACAGTTTAGCGATGGATAGCATAATATTGGAAGCTGAGACTTTCTATTCTAATTATTTAATTACAATNACCAAAAAAACTGGTTTTGATGGAGAAAATGGCTTTTTATAGTCAGAATGGGACAGTTTAGCGATGGATAGCATAATATTGGAAGCTGAGGCTTTCTATTCTAATTATTTAATTACAATAAGAGAATTGTGTGTAGGTAATACTTAAAAATCTGTACAATAAGTAGATTTTATCCCATAATTTGCTAGTTATTATTTATTTAAATAAGGGAACCCTGTTTTGGTGATCATGTATCTCCATGATATATGACTCACATTTATAAACAATAACAACATATTATTAACTAATATTATAAGTGATGATGTAATATTACAGTTTGATTTTAAAGTTCAAAAAATCCTAAATATTACCCTCAATATAGTTTTTATTTCATAAAAACGTAACATGAAAATTAAAATAAATATATGACAATAATTACAAAATATTTTCTATAAATATAAATAGGTAAATAGAAACATAAAACTATCAATGTTAAACTAAAATAAAATATAGGGGGGTTATAAATTCCCGTTGAAAATAAGGAGGGCTTAATGAGGAATCTTATTTTCACGCATGGAATATATTTAAGGTTCCTTTCTTATCACATCCATAAAAACATATTTAAAATAAAATAAGTCATATTCCATATTTTTAATTCATGAATGTGGGAAAATTATTCCCTACAGGAACATATGACAATTTTTCCTGTTTTAGATTATTAAAACAAAGAAATTATGCATAGTAATATTTGAGATTGGCCTCTCAATCTCGTGGACACCAGTATGCCTACCATTAATCTGACCCTGATTTTTCTTAATGCCCTGATTAATTTATTATTTTATTTTAGCGTCAAGAAAGACATCTAAAATTTATCCAGTTAATAAATGAAATACCAACTTTTAAACCAAGTACAATTTCAAATGTTGAAGAATTAATAAACTCTATTAAAACTAACAATGATTTTAATTTGACAACAATAGATGCTGTCGCTGAAAAGCTAAAGGAAATGAGGTGTTCGTATTCTCTGTTAGCTCTTTATATAACATACCACNGTCGCTGAAAAGCTAAAGGAAATGAGGTGTTCGTATTCTCTGTTAGCTCTTTATATAATATACCACATTGAATTAGGCAAAGGGCTCCAGATAGATTACGTTCAACTAGAAATATTCAGTGACATTTTACATCGTATTTTATCATTATTTTACTATATACTAAGCTCTGGTTATCAAGGTCTATGGACGGCTTCAATAACTATTAATGCCTTACATGCTGGAAAAATATCATACAATGAAATTAATTTTAATAAAATTATAAAAGAATTATTTATATATTGCTCTAAATGTTACAATACTGGTCGCTTACCAGAAGCACCATTATACTTGTTTGACTATAAAAATAAAGGTTATACAGAAAAGTTTATTAATCAATTATCTGATAAGTTAATGTTGTCACAATATGTTTATCCTGAATCATTTGACGATTTTTATAAATTTGCTCAAAACACAAACATTTTCAGTTNATGCCTTACATGCTGGAAAAATATCATACAATGAAATTAATTTTAATAAAATTATAAAAGAATTATTTATATATTGCTCTAAATGTTACAATACTGGTCGCTTACCAGAAGCACCATTATACTTGTTTGACTATAAAAATAAAGGTTATACAGAAAAGTTTATTAATCAATTATCTGATAAGTTAATGTTGTCACAATATGTTTATCCTGAATCATTTGACGATTTTTATAAATTTGCTCAAAACACAAACATTTTCAGTTTTATTTGGAAAGAGTCTCACAATAAGGATACATTCAAACCGCCTATTCCTCATAATGGTACTTATTTGCTTGATAGATCTTTCAATTTATTGATGGAGAATTGGAAAAACGATTATTATAGCTTAATTACATATACAAATACTATAAGAAATAATATGATAATAGTTACCTACTATTTTATTGGACAACATTTTGTATATATTATTCAGATATATCATCAAATTTTTAATAATAAATATTGTCATGAAAAAGAATTTATGGAATTGCTTCAAATTCCTATAAATATTTTTTCAGAAATATGTGAATTTATTGAGTTTTGTGCAAATGAAAATTTTCAAGAAATTCAAAATATTATCACTACTATATGCAGCTCTTCTATTGATATTGAAAAAATAGAAAATGTTACTAAAGAAATGTTGAAACTATACAATAGTTTTAGTTACAAATTCAATGTACCTTATTTAGATTATACTAAAATGAAATACTCTATAGTTATACAAATTCCATTCGATTTCTCAAAAACTAAAAATCAATTACAACGTTTCGTTGATTTTATGAAAAACTATTATTTGAAAGTAAAACGTGAAATGTCACCAGTTAATTTTTCCGTATTAAGAGGTTTTTATTATAAAAAACTCGGCGAATTTAAAAATTATTATTGATTGATTGATTAAACTAATGTAATTAATTAATTACATTAATTAAATAATTTAGTAAAATTAATTACTGAATTTTTTTAATTTTTTTACAATAAAACTTAAGAATGTCGAATTAAATTTTTAAAAATAGATAAAATAAGGATAATTAGAAATCTGTCAATATTTCTATTTATGACTGCCCCTCTATATATGCCTATGATATAGACATTAATTTGTGTAAACTCCTCCATAAACTTATTATTATATTATAAGAGAAACAACTTTTTTGAATTTTGCAGGAAAGCTAACATTTATATTGGGATTCATATCCCCTCAAAATTCATTTCAAATATGTCCATAATATAAGGTTTATAGAGTAGATATGAATTGGTAAAAATAAGTTATTAAATTTTAAAATAGATATTTTTGTATATTACATGTTGGAAGTAGGATTGAAAAAATTGATTAATTTCATGTTATAGTCTTAAAATGGGTGATAAGGAATAAGCTGATCATAGGTTTTAAAAAAATTATTAACTAATAAGATGTTTTGAAAGAAGTTTTAGGGCTGAAAATAATTTCCAGATCAAAAAATATATAAATAATAACTTATTGTATCTAGTATCAACTATATTATGAAAATCAGTCAGTTGTATAATTAGCTAATGTATCTAACCACATGTAGATATATTAGTCAACATTTAATTTATGTATTAGTGGACTGTATAGAGAGAGAAAGAGCAATAAGATAGCCAGAAGTTAAATGAAAGGGGTATATTAAAAATATTTATATAAAAAAAAATCCTATTGTTTCATAATTTTTCAAAAAGTTATAGTAATATTAAGTAAAAACTTTTAATATACAATCAAGAATGTTTTCACGAAAATCGTACTTTTTTTTATTAAATTTGATATCTTTTGTTACAATGATGAAAATCTAAAATTTGAATTCTTTTTTTATATTAAAGTATANATTGTATCTAGTATCAACTATATTATGAAAATCAGTCAGTTGTATAATTAGCTAATGTATCTAGCCACATGTAGATATATTAGTCAACATTTAATTTATGTATTAGTGGACTGTATAGAGAGAGAAAGAGCAATAAGATAGCCAGAAGTTAAATGAAAGGGGTATATTAAAAATATTTATATAAAAAAAAATCCTATTGTTTCATAATTTTTCAAAAAGTTATAGTAATATTAAGTAAAAACTTTTAATATACAATCAAGAATGTTTTCACGAAAATCGTACTTTTTTTTATTAAATTTGATATCTTTTGTTACAATGATGAAAATCTAAAATTTGAATTCTTTTTTTATATTAAAGTATATTACATAAGCTTTAATTAAGAATATATATGTATCAGTATTTTCGGAATATAATCAAAAGTTAAGTTGAAAAAGTTCTAGTTTCTATACACATGTAATTTAAACCCTATCCTGTAAAAATAGAAAAGGTTAGACTATGAAAAGTATTTAAAAAAAAAAAAAATTGTATTTATCATAACATTTTCTAAGAAGCTATAGAAATATAAATTTAATAGTATAAAATATACAATCGAGAATTTTAACACCAAAATTGCATAATTATGAATACGGTAGTAATTTTTAACAAGATGACAATCTAAAATGATAGTATTTCAGAAACATTTTCAAAAATGAATTTAAAAAGTTAATTTTGAGTGGAAGAGTGGCCATTTTGAATCTCCCATGTAGGTATGTAAAGAGTCAAATTTTCACAAAAATTATACTAAATATTAGGTTCGTAACTACAAAAAAAAAAAATATCATGTAGATTTGTTAATTTTTAAAAAGATACTGCAGTTTCAAGAAAGAAAATTTAAAAAATTTAAAAATTAACGATTTTTACACGATTACACGAATAAATCTTTTTTTGACTCAGCAGTGTCAACTACTCATTATTTTTGCCGCTGATCGTTAGATTAGACAACAAAAGAGGATAAATATAATTAAAATCAAATTGTTTATCGGCATTGATCCCTCCCAAAAATACTGGCCGTTATCGATTTAAAATTGCAGTGTTGGTTCTTGATCCTTCTTCTGTCAATGACCGTGCTGGAATACACATATTTGTTGTTTTCTGGTCGCTATTTTTTCAATGATGGAGTAGAGCTGCCAACGGCGAACAGCGAGGTCTTTTCGGGGGAGCATTCAGACCATCGAATGGGTCTCTTCGGAGACCGGGTATTTTTTTTTTTTATAATTATATTTATGTAATGAGCTGTATTTTATTAATTATATTATATTATTTTTTATTTTATTATAAATTAACTTAATTTTGTTTCTGTGTGGAGAATACGTGTTTTCTTCTAATCAACGCTAAGGAGCCAGTGTCCAGACCGCTCCTTGTGTCTTTCATTAATTTCCGAATAACATTAACGGATGTGTTCCAATACCGTCCTTAATGTTTGTTATATCATTTGATTTTGTTTAAATATTTTATTTTATTTTTGTTGCCTTTTTGAAGACGGTTTTTGAAACACTCAAATCTTTGTCCATGTTTAACTTAATTTTCTTTTTTTAACAATTAAATTTAATTTCCTTATTGATTGTAATTGTAACATTTATTTTATTGTGCGAGTAGCTTAAGTACTCGAGTGTATTTTATTCCTGTTCCTTAATCTAGACACGGTCTATGTTTTACATATCAACCACTTACAACTTCAATTATCATAGTTGTGGTTAATAAACCACGAGGTGTTATAATCATTTATGTATATGACGACATATAACCCTAGTTTATAAGGTACGGGTAGCGGCCTTATCTAAGGTAATACCATTTCATCATGTATATGTGACAACTTATCACGAGGTTTTGGGTGTACATCAACTATCGAGGACTTAACGAACTTAAGTTTCAACTTTGTTAAATTATAAACCTACATTTATTTCTATATTTAATATTAATATGACTTGGTGAAAAATAAAACACATTTTCTTTGTTTTCCTTAGTACTTAATAGTAACTTAATTTAATTATGACCTCAAAATTCACCAACATTTTTTTTTTTTGATTCTTATTGTTTTTCAAAGAATATTAATATGACCTCGATGTTTAATTTTCGAAATTCTTCTATGATCTGACAATACATTGTCTAGTCCAGTAGGTTAGCGACTTTCGTTTTTATTATTTTCAGAGTGTCATCAAAAATTAAAAAATTTATCTGTTGTTTCTTGTAAATTTTTTTATTATATTTGTAACCTTTTAAAGTTAATATTATTTTAATTAAACTTTGGTTTTCTAATCCATCAATATACATAATATTTTTAGTTCGAAAAATATTTAATGAAATAGTAAAATGTAAAATCTGTGTTTAATTTAAATAATTTATTATAGAATAATGTATCATATCATAGTGATTCAAAATTCAACTAATTCGGTAAAAACATTTGAAAAATAATATGAACATTTTTTCAACCTAAATTACAGAAAATCTTGTATTAATGAAGTATTAAGTAAAGATAATTAAATTTTTTATCTTAAAATAAAGCGAATAAATAATATTTTTTTAACTTGGTAAATTTATTATTAATAAATGGTATTCATTGTTTTTTTAATTTTTACTACTAAGATCGGATCTACAATTCGTGACGTGTTTATTTTTCATTACACAGTACGTCACCATTTAATGAACTTGTTATTCTTGCAACAAGAAAAATATTTCTATATTTTCAACTAAACTTAATTGTGTGGCATACGTATTTTAGAATAAAAAACAGTGTTTTTTAAAAATTACAAAAAAATCTACCATCATTTAATTAAAATGAAATATAGTAATTTTTTATTATTTTTCTTGGTATCTAACACAAATAATGGTCAGGAAACAAACAATAAGAAGTATACAATTGACTTTTTAAATTCATTTCTACAAAGAAGCAAGTGGAAAGATACATTACATGATGTGTTAGACCGTCAAAACAGTAATTTCGTTTTAGAATATGAACTAATATTTGATGTTGACGAATGTGTTAAAGATCACATCGTTGATGAATATAATGTTGAGCAAAAACTAAGAGATATAATGTTGCTTATTAATTATAAATACACTACTGTTTTTGCAAGAATATTACTTCACTTAACAGACATTTGTTGTGATTGTTGTAGGCAGTACAATGAACACCGATCTCTTTTCCCGCATTGTGTGAAATTATTAAAATCAAGTATTGAAATTTCAGAACGGCTTATAATACGATTTATTAGTGTAATAGATTTTTTAAAGGATTTGTTAGACATCGAAACTAACCCATTTGTTTTAAAAGAATTTAAACATTTTATTGAATTGATAAGTCAAAAAAAAAGTCTAAATGAAAATGATAATTATCAATATATTCAAGACTATAGTAAAACGTTTTATAATATAAACCATAAAAGAAGTGATTTATATAAAATATACCAAAATTATAATATTAGAGCAAGTGATATTGATTATTGTATTGGTCCTGTCTTTTACGATAATTTAAAAAAAAGAAAATATAATTTACCTGAAACTTATTTCGAATTTTTAGGAGATCAATTACAAATATATATTCAAGATATGATTACAGATTTGTATGATAATCTAGGATTTTTGTATGATGAAAAATCAAAAACAAATTCTTATGTTCACGATTTTGAAGTTTACAAGTTTCAAGCAAAATTAATGTCTTTTAAAAAAAAAAAAAAAAAAACTATTTTAGATAAATGTTGTTTAAAATAATAATAAAATATAAGTATCCGTAAATATTTCTAATATTTTAATGCTCTATTATCATATTATTTGTAATGAATTAAAATAGAAGTTTCAAGAAACTTCTAGAATACTTTTTCTTGACGACATAAAAATTACCAATTGTAATTATTTTTCTAACCGACAATTATTTTATTACTTTTTTCAAATATATTAAAGCGATGTTTACATTAATTTCAATATTTTTAATTACCATAAACATATTTGTTCCATCGCAAAGACGGCTAAATATAATAGTTAAATTTTTAAGAAAATAATCCTTTCTTCATCACTTCACCCACAAGGTTAATATAAAATGGCTAAGAAAAATTAGCACACCAGCATATTATTCACCCATTCTCTTATTACTCAATTTTAAATATAATTCATTCATAATTGTTAAAATAACCAGTGCAAACCATAGAAATAAATTTAGTATGTTATCCTTCATTATCAGTGTTTTATTTATTTAAATTTAATTAATATATCCACGACGACAAAGAACATCACAATTTATCATTTATCAACGAGTCCATCTGATTATCATGGTAAGTGTAGTCGTAAAGCATGCGCTATATTTATGTAATAATAAGTATATTATACAGGATAATGAAGGTAAGAGATAGGATTAAGATGATATCCAATGCAACCCAATCTATTAAATCAAACTCAACTTACATTTTCTCTAGTGCTTTCACCTAACTAAAACCTTCTTAAATTTTATTCTCAACCTTATCCTACTATCTGCCTGTTTCTTCCATTAGACCTTACTTTTTAAAACAATACATACTCGTTAAACATTTGGTGGAAAACTAGATACCAATATTTTTAAAAACTATTGGTTTTACAAAAATATATCTAATGGAGGGAGGGAGGTTTGAAAGATCATGGATGATGTTTCTCGATTTAACAATGATATTTTTTTGTTGTATACTTTTCAGTAAACAATTGACTGCTTAAATGACCCCAAACAAGGTTTTTTATATTAGAAAAAATCGAGCACTTTAAGAATACATAAAATATTTTTTAAAATGGAAAATAAATTTGAAACCAAAATAATGAAAGCAAGAAGTATGAATGATTTCTTATTGAAAGAAATAAAGTAAGAATTTCAAAACGATGTGTTTTGTAAATAATATTAGATGTAATAAAATTCTGATGAAATAGATAATTGAACTGGTAATTTTTAAAATCTTATTAGATAAATAAATAAATATAATAGAATATTAAGGCAATATATTGACATCATTTTTTTGTTTTGAAAGTGAACGGGTAAAATCATACTTTTGCCTTTCCATATTTTGACTAGGGGAGAATTGTACATCCTACTTGTTTGTATTAGCGCCAATGCTGTTTATAATGTTTTTTCTTGAACACATTTTATAATTAGTTTCACTTTTTTCTTTTATACATATTTATTTTTATTTATTATAATTGTATGTATAAAACATGAACTAGATTAAAACTAAAAGGAGCATTTCAAATTGAAAAGTCATATTCTATTCTTAAATATAAAATTTATTTGTTTTTTGATTAACGTCCATTATTTGGCAAAATAGTTTGTACTTGACCTGTTGGTATTTGTGTCAATGGGAATTGACCAGTTAGTAGTGGTAATTGACCGGTTTGTGTTTGACTAAATGGAAATGGTGTGGGTTGATTAATTTGAAAATTTTGAGGATTTGCTGAGCATATTGTTGCTTGTTGTAATGTTATGGTTGAAGCAATCATAAGTATAACTGTCTATATAAATAAAAAACAGATGTATACATATATTAATTTTTAATATATTGAATAAAATTGAAAATTATACTAATGTTTTACCAGTCATATTAAAAATAAACGTGGAATATATATTCGAATACTTCATTTAAAAACTATTAACAATAAGTACTAACATTTTAAAATAATAAAATATTAGTAATATATAGAACTATTCTTGTTAATTGGAAAATAAATTTTGTTTCTAATCTTAAATACAATAATAGTTATTTAATAATTTGTTAAATAGATGAATACAAGATTATGAAAAATTAATTGATAATAAACTTACAAATTTTAATTCAATAAATAACAATTAAGTAAATATTTTTAGTATAATCGTTATTATTCCTAATTTTTCAGTATGTATGAAAATCATATCTTTTATTTATAAAATAAAAAACAATTTTGAATCAATACTTACCACGTGAAAAAAATTCATTTTGATGATAAAATTGTTTATATTAGAAAATAGTTTTATAAATACTTTTGATTTCACTTGTTCCATAAACACAAGTTTATTGATAATCATAGACAATTGTTGGTTGTACTTATATTAGTATTAAATAAGGCCATGTCATATTTATTTAAAAATAACTAAAACTCAAGGTTTTAAGTAATATATTAATAATTAATATACATTTTTCTTTCATACTAATGAAACAATAATTGTTTCATTAATACGAAAGAAAAATACAGTTAGGTAACTCAATAGAAAAATTACATAAAAATTAATTTACGGAATTGGCTATAAAATATTACAAACTTGGATTATAAAGTGGGTGAGTGGAAACTAAGGGAAGAATAAAAAACAGGGACAGTGCAAGAAGTGTGCGTGTTATATGAAAGGAATTTTATATAACGAAAAACATTGGCGGGTACGGAGATCATAATATTATAATTTTTAAGATGGAAAAATGCACCCAACACCAAAAGTTGGGGATTTGAATTACTACACCGCCTGACGACCTGAGGCAAACTCATTATGACTGAGAGAGTAATAAGGAAACAAGGTGTGTCCTCCTGATCACCCATCGGAGTGCCTATAGCAAACACCGTAGTTGAACATACCGTTAAGTCAGTGACTGGCCAATTCACTGCGCTACACCACGTCCTAAAATGTCATAAGTAACAAAATTAAATAAATATTTATAATCTTTCAAATTTAAAAAGTTTTATAGGTTCTTCTTCTTCTTTCCCGCCTTAATCCCAACTACTTGGGGTCGGTCAAACAACTTTATTCTCCCTCACCTGTTGTCATCGTGTACATCCGAGATGGGACAATTCGTCTAAGTTTTGTTCAGGACACCTCATACTATTTGACAAAAATTTAACGCCGCCTTTCGTCCTGACGCAACCTCATTAGTCGTCTCTTACGACTAGCAGAGGGGCCGTGGAAGTATTCTTATCCCTTATCCACAGGGAAACAAGTTTTATAGGTTAAAAATATATAAATCCAAAAATTAATTGTCAGCTTATCCTAGGACCATTATAAAAAAATTTATTTTGAGTCATTTTAACAAAAAATTAAAAAGTTGTGTTCGAAAAAGGGTACGAAATAAATAGATTAAATAAGATAAAATCCAAAGATCTATATATTTACAATTTATTAACTATCGCCTATTAAATATGAGTTATTGTAATTTTGCACTGAAATTAAATGTGTATAACATTTGATTATAGTAATATAAGCACATAAGCACGAGAAAGTAGTAATAAGTAATAGCGTCCACTATAAATTTAATATTTTTTATTGTTGTTTGTATTATTATTTTTAATTTTATATCGAATTTGTTAAATATTGTATAGTTATGATATCATTTGATACTAAATAATATTTTGGTATCAAATAATAGTATTGTTATATCAAATAAATACAGAATTTAAAATGTAATTAATCAGTACGTATAAAATATTTTACTTATACAAAGTTATTTGTTTATAGTTATAACTCATACTTATGAGTGTAGAATCATCAACTCACAAGTCTCAAAATTGATATTTTTTATTAAAATTAAATATTATTATAAATGAAATGTCATTCAATTACTTAATGTTGTCAACAAATTAATAAATATATTACTAGTGGAAAAGTTAATTTTTATTTTAATATGCTAACCAATGTATGATTATAATATAAATGTTTCTTATGTTTTCAAGCCAAATAATACGCGATCTATTGATGAAAATAATGACTACTTAAATGATAATATAAAGTTATACTGTTAATAATTCATAACACGTATTATGACTACTTTAATTTAAATTTTTGTAGAAACTTAGTTTTGAAAAATATAATTTAAATAGAAAATTTAACTTTTAAATTTACTAAGAATTTAATTATTTGTAGAAAACTATATCATCACTGGTACCTACTTTGTAAGAACAAACAAATTATAATTAATTTTTTTTTAGATTTTACTTTAAATATTTTAAAATAAATTATCCATTTATTCATGAGATGGATTTGTTAGTCCACTAGTATTTACATGCAAAGAATATAGTTCACCTTTAATTTAGTCACACTTTTTAAACCATATAAAATTATTTGTCTTAGGAAAAAATTGTGTGTGTAATAGTAATTATGTTATGATAAAACTGATTAACTACAGTAAATCATTAAATATATTTTTTGATGGATTAAAAATAAATATTTTTCTCATAAATTATATAAAAGTATCTTCTATTTTTAGGAATGAGTTACTAAAAAACAAAGTATTTTATTTTAATGTTTAATTATTTTTATCAATGGTTAAATAAAAATATTTTTGGATTTCAATCAGTCAATGGAATTTAGTAGATAATACATATATATGAGTGAATTAATGTGATGTTATTTAGTTTTAATATATATATATACATAATATGTATTTTAAAATTATATTTTTACTAAAATAACATTAATTTTAACTTGAAAAAAGCTCAATTATGTTGAATAATTTTTATTTTTTCTGTGTATTTATTAAATTAATTGAAATTTTGAAGTATTCTATTTGTTAAAGATAATAATAAAGTAGTAGTAAATGTAGAATTTTTATCGGGAAAAGATAGCTTTCAGCACAGTAGTGCGAGGTTTACCCCTCCACCACCCTAAGATATCATAATTTTATGTAAAAGAGGGCCCAATCCCCTAGGATCCTCGTATTTGTGCTATTATATTAAAGAAATTTATAAATATAAAATTGAATTAGATCAATTTAAATATATATATTGTGATGATAAAATTAAAATATTAAGTGTAAATTAAATAATTGCTTCTTAAGAAAAATATGGATAATTACAATGAAATATCAATTAAAATGTAATGTATATTTAATTAATAATTAGTTATTTGCAAATTATGATCATATGTTTGTATACAAACTAAGTTTTCTTTTCTATTATTAATTAATTAGTCGTTCACATTTTTATATTCAGTACAATGGCGGCTCGTGGGTACTGTTTGTGGGAATGCGACTTTTTGTATAATACTATAAAATATAAAATATATAAATTTTTTATACTTATGACAAGTGAATCATAGTATAAAAAATTGTCAAATTAAATATAATTAAAATAAAGCATAATACACATATTACTATTTTAAAGGTCGCAGTATAAGATCGAAATGAAAATAATAATATAAGCGATTACACTCTTATTGGCCGAACCCAAGTAGTTGGGATTACGGAAAAAGAAGAAGAGCGATTATACTATTATGGCATCCGATAACAACGAGCGTACACTCAATTAATTCTAAAAATAAATTACTCAATATAGTAATGTACTAATATTTTATCGTATGGATGACCTGTCGGTCGTCCAATCACACCTTTGTGTGCATGCGTACCCGCATATGTTCCTTGTATCTGAATAATGTAGAATTAAAATTATAAAATTCATTTTTTTATTTTAATTAGTTTTAGTAGGGGGTGCAATCGTCCCGTCGTCCAAACCACGAGCCGCCACTAAGTCAGTAATTATTGGTTAAATAGATCGTAGCTTGGTAAATTATTGAAATTTAATAGGTGTTGAAAAATTATAATATTTTTCTTCGGGTAATAATTTTTTACTAAAAATGAAATACTTATCGCTTTATTTTAATGATTATTCAACTATAAAAATAATAGTATTAATAATATAAAATTAAGTGTTTAACTTTTATTTAAATTCCGTGTCAGTAATTTCTTTAAAAAATATAATTTTGTCGTGCTCTATTGCACTCACTTAAAGTTCTCTTAGTTATCGTATTTTTTGTTTTGAAGAAATAACATCATTAGGTAATAAATGATAAAAATATGCAAATAAAGTGAATGATTATCAAATTATCACAATAAAATATGAGTAACATTTAATTTTTATAAAATGACATCACAAAGTCAAAAAGATAACTATATAAAACAAATTTAAATTTATGAATTTCTTTTTACCATTTAATTATAGTTTTAAGTATTATAATAAAAGTGAAGTATGGTAATAAATGTAGTAATAAAAGAAAAAATATCATATTATATTTATTGAATACCTATTATTATAATAACTTGTTATTACATAATATAATTATATTCGTTCCAGTTTTTTTTTAGTTAACACAACAAAAGAGAACAGAAGAACTTATTTAATGAAAATAATTAATTAAGTATATATAAAACTTATATGTTCATCAGAACTAGTAATTTGAAATAGGTTATAGCTTGTAATTATTTTTAATTGTCTTGACATAAACAAAAAATGATTACAGGAAACATAAGTTTGGAATAATACTTGTGTGTATTTTATTATTTAATATGTAAATTAATTAGAACATAAAATTTCATCAACATGAATAATAGCTAACATAAATAGTGTCAATAGTGTATCACACTTTTTTGATAAACAATATACACAGTGTAAAATAATGAATATCGGGGTTTTCAGTATTGTAAATCTGTAACCATTTATTTTGGTTGTTATAAAGATTACCCCTTAATAAACAGAATCTAATTTTATTTGATGCTTAGATTGTCATAAAGTTATCACGTATCATTGTTTTTTTGCATTTACCAAGATACAAAATTAATTTTTTTCCTCTATCGTTATGTGCAAAAATATTTATAGTAGCGGTATGTTTAATAAACAAAAATATTGTTAATATATCACTACTGATATCATGGAAAAATAAAAATTAGCAACAATTCAGCTTTTTAACTATCACTCTTCATACAATTCATTGCGTATAAGGAAAAATATTATATTGACTGAAAATTCTTTGAGTATTTTCAAAAATACTATATAGAACAAATATAGACATCACGAGGAACTTATGTATGAAAAAATAAAATTATTCTAGGATATACAGTTGTGAAAACATAGCACTAAAAACACTCGATATTCATTTTGTTAGATCCTCTATTTGTAAATAAAATTATGTTATTTAGCATTACATTATTTTTTATTATTCATGTTGAATTAATATAAAATACAATGATAGTCATAAATTACGAAAAATTAGATAGGGCTGGTAGTTGCACCATTACAAAATATTACTAAACGATATGACAGCTATGCAAATGTTTAACTTAAGCATTTGCTATTTTATAAGTTATAAGCATAGATGCCACTAGATGTTTGGGGGTGTTAATATACATTTTTTCCCCACCCTGAAAATATTTCAATTAACATTACATATAATTAAAAAAAAATGGGGAGGTTAAACCGTCACCTAGTTGCACCTATACTTATAAAATAGTAGAGTGAAACGTACGCGCAAAGTTTCTTATCACTCATTCAGTATTGGTAAACCATAGTTTAACTGAAAAAAATAACGAATCAAAGATTTATAATTATGAATAATAAATTACAAAGTATACAATAAAAAGCATTGATTTATCATAAAGTTTTCTCAACAACTACAAGCATATCATACATTGGCGTAAATTAGGTGAAGGAGGCTTAGTCCTTCACTCATATTTGTCGAAGCCTCCTCAATTTTTTAGACAATTAAATGTATTTTTACACAAAAAAAAAAAAAATGAATGTGGGGTAAAATCAATTTAGCCCCCTGCATTTTTAATAAATGTACGTCAATAATATCATATATTATAATTTTTTTTTAATAAGTTGATGTTACATGTTATTAGAATAACGAAACTTTTTATATACTTACTTATTATTTTTTAAATTTTGATTAAATTTTTAATTTAAAATTAAATATCATTTAATTTATTTTTCATTGAAGTTTTAATACTAATTTTTTTTATTTTAAACACTCTTATATTTTTTTCTCCCGCTTATATAACAAGTTTATATCGAGATATTTGAGCATATTGTTTACAAAAAGATATTGCATTTTTCTTTTTGGAATTCAATGTTTTATAAAAATTATAGCAAGGTATTTTTAATGATTGCACAATGTAGTTTAAAAAATTGAAATATAGAAATATACTCACTTAATTACATAGTTAATCAGTAAATGATGTTTGGAGAATCTGTATTATCTGATATTGAGTCATTTTCGTTTAAATCGTTATCATTTATAGTATTCATCACGAAATTGTCATCATATTCTTCTTCTAGTTTTGGATAGTAAATGCTTAGTAATTCACTGATATTAGGGTTGGGAATTTGGCCTTGTTGAATTAAATGATCACCGTCTGCTACTCGGTATGCAATAGAGTGAGGTCGGGTCGCACGACTATCAGCATAAATTGGGTTTAATTCATATCGTACAAGTCCTTGGCTGCTATTACGAACGGTTGAATGTACTAGCTTTTCTACTTTAGTGGTCCAAGGACTTTGACCGAAATGAGCGTTCTGAGGAATAATATTGTACCGCTGACTACCGGGACCACCAAGCTGCCATCCAACTAAGTGACTAGCTTGATCATTATCGGGTTCACCTAAACTCCTAGCAAAGTACTCTATATGATTGTCCACGTTGCTGCCAGCATGTAAATGTCGACGATGAATTAGAGCAACTACATATTCCACCCTGCCACCATGACCTCTTTGGTAGTTAACGATGGGATTGTTAAATTCATTAACTACTTCAATAGGACGTCCAGGTATTGGACCGATGTGAAAAATATCAAAAAATCCGCAAAGCCCTTTGTCATTAAGACCAATTTTCGTAGACTTATTTACATATCGTTTATATCGACGTGATGTGCATGATCCTATTGATGATATTCTGTTAGCCCATCCTATTATATCTAGATTGTTATGAGACTTTGATGTTGAATCAATCATCGTCCATTGACCCAAACAATCATCATCTTCATAGACCATAATGCAACGATTATATGTTTTTATAGAGGCGATAGAAGTTCGCACAGAGTATATCCGCTGACCATTGTCGTACCATTCAGATTTCAGATTTTTACATGAAGATAGCAATGGAATATTAGCACATGCTCCTGTAAAGTTATTTTTATCACACACAGTAATATGGGGACCGAGCCACAACCGTTTGGGTATTAGCGGCCGAAAGTTATCGCATGGCCATTCTATGCACGATATTGAACATGGACTTATTGAAGAAACAGTAGCATTCCAATTGAGAGCTGTAAGATCGTTATGTGAAGGGGATCCAGGATACAACTGCATGCTGTTACCCGTACAGTTATTGCTACTGTATATTCTAATGCATTTATTCCTAGTGTTTATCGACTTAATTGTGTTATCTAATTTTTCGTGCTGCTTATTAAATATTGAAGAAACTAATTTTTCGTCGTCTTTGCCTGGTAGACTCAGATTTAAACATTTAGCTGATAGAAGTAGATCAACGCATGGCTTTTTAAACTCACGACTTCGACAAACTTGTATGGATGGTGGTAGATAAACGGGTTGAATTCGAACAAATTGCTTTTCTTGTACACATTCTTCCTCAAAACATGGGCTTATCGATTCAGCTTTGTCAAAACCTATTTGTCTCAGATTATCTAAGGATTCTAAACCATTATGAAGAGCTAAACTGCTGCCTCGACAGTGCTCGTATTTAAAAATTCGGATGCAATTACCATATGTGTTAACGGATCCTATGTTAGTAGCGATGTTGTAAAGGCTTCCATTTTTTATATCATAGAACTCATTGCGTAACGATTGGCATTTAGTTGGAACGACTAATTGCGAACATGGTCCATTTAAACGAGGTCCATAACATATTTTAAAATTTTTTCCATGACAACTTGTCACTAACAACGAGAGTAGAAATGCAAACACTACCACATTCGGCATGTCGTACATTCCTACAAAACCAATCTATATCGCGTGTTCGTTAAGACTGAAACACATCATTTGGATTTTTTGTACGATGTAGTTGTTTATTTGGCCTTGTTAGTGGTATGTAATAAAAAAAGATAATTTTGTGCTACACGAGCATAAAAACATCTCAAAAGGTAACAAGCTACAAATAATTTTTATTTCACTGTTAAATAATGTACTAGTCATTCAAAAATCAAAAAAATGTAAAATAAATGAAAATGACTATAAATAAATCAAATTAGTTAATTGAAGTTTATTAGTTTTATTCAAATCTAGAATTAATCTCGTTAATTAAAATTAATTTAAATTAAAAAAATCTCGTAAATTTGTATATTCAGCTAGTTACGGTTCAAGAAATGGCAATACATCAACTACAGAAAGTAATTATATGACGTCGGACATAAAAGTTGGTAATACATATACATGAAAACAAAATAAGTACAATGAATACCTCTTATACTTCCAAACCTTGAAACTTCTTAAAAAAAAGTTAATATAGATTAAGTTAAGATTTATGAAGAACTATATAAATACTTGCATTATATAATATTGTAAACTAGGTTATTTTTACTTATCTGAGGAAAATGGCTATTACTAAAGATAAATTAATAGAAATAAAAAACAAAATAAACTATTACAGCGCTTATCATTTATTTTCTTGTTGTGATAGAATAAAAATAATTCTGCGATACAAAATTTGAAAATTTGAATCAAATGAGATTTTGATCTCATGCAGACCAACTTATTTATAATTTTGGCTAAAACAAAAATATTGATAAAACATTCATTTCTATTCAGTTTTTTTTTTTACTTTTTAAGCTGTATATTTATATATATATATATATATATATATCTACGATTTTGCGCAATAACGTTTATTTAAGCAAATAGTTCAAGCTTACATCCTTAAAATATTAAAATTGCAAAAATAACTATATGGAGTACAAAAATGTTAATAAAGAGTACGACAATTTTCTTGTTTGTAAATTAAATTATTTTGTTTTTAAATTGAACATCAATTTTATTTCATTACATTTTAAAACATAAAAATTGTTGAAGCTTGACTAATAACTTTATTTTTAATTGATTAATATTTCTATGTATAAATAATATAGCACAAAAGAAAAAAAACTTGTTTTTAATGAGTACGAAAGAAATTTATTATATATGATCCATTGTTATTTACTAATTTTATCATTAGTTTATATAGTAAATCACTTTGTACATAAATTTTAGGTATGATTATTAGTTTTCTTGTAGAGAGGAAAAATGTTGTTTCATCTAAATATTTAAACTATTTAAATGTTATGCTTGAAAAATTAGATGAACAATAAATAAAGTAATTTGTTTAATAATCAGAGAAATACAATTTGTTCATAAAATAACTTTTTATTAATTTTGAATAAACATGATTTTTCTGTGGGATTCGGAACAAAAACGAGTTCTATATTCTTATTTGTGAAGATATTTAATTTTAAAAAAAATTTTACTATTATTTTTTATGAACAAATTTTGATAAAATTGCTACTTCTGAAAAATTTAAAAAGAAAATGGACTTATTTGGTTTTTGCACAATGCCCTTCAGACGTAGTTAAATATTACATTAATATGGTTTATATTAATCAATATACTTCACAATTTTAATTTTATTATAAGTTATTAGTGAGATTGCTTATTAAATTTAGTATTTTCATTTATAAGATAATATTATACGAGTATTATTTGCATGTTATAACTATTGAGGCACTGATTAGGGAACAGTGAAGCTTTAGTGTCGCTCAATATATACACACAAGTTGTATTTATTATAAAAAGCATACTAAAGAAAATTTATTATGCATAAATTGAACTTAAAAATAACTTATTTATATTAAGATGAATATTGTTCATTTTTATATTTAACAAAATATATAAAATATGTTACTCATTTAAAATCAAAACTAAAATGTAACTATTTAATTGCAGTATTTTAAGTGTTTAAAAAATGTATCTAGCAAATCAATATTCTTTGTTGAATTCTACGAGAACTCATTAAAATGATAAAATTTAATGTGAATTAAAAATTTTAGTTACTTAAAAAAAAGTTTTATTTTTTATTGTTTTACAAAAAAATATTTTTATGTAAATGTATAGTTAGGCAAACAGGTCTAAGATTTGTTGTGTAATCTCTAATAGTTAATTAAAAATAATTAATAGTTTTATCTTTGGTTATTTCTAATTGGAATTTGTACTTGACGTTATTGTACTTATCAATTTATAAATGTCTAAAAATTATTTCCAGATATTAGACGAGAGTATCAGTATTGATAGTAATATTAATTAGTTTAAGTTTTTTATTAAACACACCAATTTTTAATGATTGTTCATTTAATGTAAAGTAATTACGAAAATATTATAACTTATTTTAAAAAGTATTTTGATTAAAAAATTATTCTAAAAAGAAACAGCATTAAAAAATTTACCAACAATGTACAATGAAATTCAAATTATTATATATACTAATACTTCCTTCAATAACTTACTATAGCAATGTTTATGTCAAATAAACATTGAAATGCTAAGATTGGTACTAGCTTAATATATTTGATTAGGACTACCTGATAGGGCTAGTTTGAGATTATTAAAGCATTCAGTCTGAAATCCCTCTATAGAATACTTATGTGTTCTCAATAATGATATCATTTAAAACTAAAAAGATTATATTCTTTATGTATACCGAACTTTTTAATTTTAGCTTCGATGCGAAGCTGAGAAAGTACTACTTTTACCATAACGTGTTTTTTTTTGTGTCTGTTGCCACTTTTTCTCAGCTTTCACTGGACCGTTTTTTTTTTCAACGATATGTTAAAACAACAAAAATTGTATCTAGTTGAAGACATTATCCTCAAAAAATCAGCGACTTTTCACTTTTTTTTCTTAAAACTACCATAACTTTTTCAAAAATTAACAAATCAATATAAAATTTCTTGATTGCATATTATATTAATCTTAACAATATCATTATTTTCTATTTAATTATGTCAATTCCAAACTTGCAAGTTGAGCTAAAAGTTATAGTAAAAATACATATAGAAAGTGAAACTTTTTCAACTTCATTTTCGAAAATATTCCAGAAATACTAACACTTATATATTAAATTAAAGCTTATGTTATATACTTTAATATGAAAAAAATAATTCGGACTTTATTTTGTCTTCACGATGAAATTGACACCGTATGCTATTTCTGTGTTAAAATTTTCGACTTCATATTTTATATTTTTAACTTAATAATTCTTTAAATTTTTTAAAAATGTATGGATCAATACAAATTTTTATGATTTATACTATTTATATACTTTTTTTATGCGACATACTTTTTGTTTAAATCGGACCATTTCCCCTTATACAGAGGTGGTTTAAAACTTAAAACCGTATAAAAAGAAGAGCTTTTTCAACTTATTGTCATTAAAATATATTTATTGATTATTCATACATTACCAAATTATCAAACATAAATATTTGTTATATTAATTAGAAGGATTTTGTTATTATTTAGGCCATATGGGAAACTGTAATTGTGTATTTGATATCGGCACTAAAATGGGTTTATATTTTGGTCTAGGATGAAAATTCCGTAGATCAGTAAATTTATTTGTAAATAACAAACAATTTCTTTTTATTCACTGATATTAATACTTTATAACATAACATAAATAATACTAAACAATTTAAAAATTATCAAACATATTTTGACATCAAAACTTTATTTGTCTTGTCACTATAAGTTATTCTAGTTCTGAAATTATTAGTTATTAAAATTTCAAGAGTATTTTTAACAAAGTAATACAGCTTATAACCAAAAAACATTTCTATTCTTTGTAACTGAAAAATAATGGACCTTATTATTTGCATGTAGATTTATATAATTTTAATATAATCATATTCAAAGACCCATCTGCTATTCAATAATAAGTTCAACAGTTTTGAAGAGTTTGGTCACTCTTTATTAATAACATAAAAAGAAAATAATGTTTGTTATGAATAATCATTTATAATATAATATTAGATATTCATAAAACGTAGCATTGTTCTATATTAAATCTTCAACTTCATTGAGATCATCTTTAATAAAAGAAAATCCAATAAAAAATGTATAGGAATTTTTTTTACAAAATGTACTGAAATTATTATATTTTAGAGCCAGTTTATTTAGGATGCTTTCTTGATTGGAAATAATGATTGTATTTTGGTGTTTTAATTGAATAATTCCTTTAAGCATGGCATTATGTAGTGTTAGTATTAGTATCTGTGTATAAAATAAAGTCCTTATTTTCTAATATAATAAAAAATAAATATATGTGTACCTTTCTTTTTATTATGTGTCAAAGTAAATAAGACTATGCTACAATTGCGATCTGTAAACATTTTTATTTTTGTTATAATAATTTGTTTTAAAGTATGAAAAAAATTGAATCAACAATATATTGTACAAGTTAAATATTTTCATTAAATACTATATTATTATATAATCCACATGGGCGTTCTTCCAAGAAAATATAGTGATCAGAACCCCCATTACTAAATCAAATGTATGGTAAAGATTTATTTTAGTATATAGTAAAATAATTCTTATTTATATTCTCTCCAAAGCAAAATTCTGATAATTCAGTACAATACTTAAACATGTATAATTTAGTATAAACTTAAATATAACTTTTTAGTACCCAACTATGCTAAAAAGACTATAATTTTTTAGTATATAACGGAAGTGTATAATGAACTACTTTTGTTAGAATTTATAAGTATAGTTACTATTTTAAAAATATGTTTAATAAATATAATTTAGTTTTTTTTTTTTTATAATCTAGTTTTTTTAAATTTTTTTTTAGATGGAGGTTTAATTAGTTCATCTACAGACTTATTTATTTATACATCAAGTTTATTCTTCATTTCTAGAAAATTTGGACAGTTATAAACATTGTTTTATATACTAGGATAACAACGAACGTTGACTAACGTATACTAGAGGTGAGTAACATCAGAATCTTAAAATTTTTAAAAAATGTAAAAAAAAAATTATTTTTATTTTTTAATTCTGTAATTGGATTTTTTTATAGCACCTCATAAAATAAGTCATGCAAACTTTTATAGCACTGTATCAATTTTTAAATTTAAATATTTTATATTGAGTGAAATATTTTAATCAATTAAATTTGGATTTTAGTTTTCTTCACTAAAATCCAACTGTTTAGAAAAAAAATATTATTTTAAAATTGATCACGTATATTATTAAAAAAAAACTTAAATTAGATTAAATCAATTAATTTTACACAGACATTATATGACTCAATATAAAATTCATAGACATACTGTAATTAAATGGCAGAACATAAAATAACTGAGCTTCGTTAAGTTTGCCTCAAAATATGAAAGGGTATAACCAGATATTAAAAACCAACGAGGATCAAAACAATTTATATTGGAAATTGTAATTTATTACAATTAAATATACCCAAACTCTTAGAAAAGAACTATAATAATGAATTATTATAAATTCTAATTTAAAATTTAATATATTAAAATACTTTTTTTATTTATTGAAATGTAAATAATTTTTTTATGACATTTTCATGTACTAAATGTTATACATATTTAACGATGTATGGTATTCTGGAATTTGAGCTCAATGACTGCATTAATAGTATCAATACCAATAACAAAAAACAATTTTTTTTTCTTAAAAAACTTTTATAAAAATAAAAAGTAAAAAAAAGAATAAAATTTTCAAATCAAATTATAATTAACATTCGTAATTAATCAAATTAAATAACAAATCAAAATAATATATTTTTATACTGCCACCTTTCCTATTTTCCTTTCCTTTGATATACTTTTTTTTAAATTTGAAAATTTAACTTGCCGTCAAGCGGATATTTAAAATAGCAACTTTTGTACAAAAGTTAACTTTTTCAACTTAACTTTTGAAAATGTTTTGGAAGCGGCGTTCTTTAAATTTATGTTACATTAATGCTTATGTTGCGTACTATAAATTGAAAGAAAAAAATTTGTCCCGACGACTTATCTTTTGCGCAAAAATAGCTATCTTAAATAAAAACATTATTTTTGTTTTAACATTTTTATTTATTTTTTATTTATAGAATAAAAAAATATATCAAATTTATTATAATAAAATCGATTATGGCTTAGAGATGTTATCTTTTGGTCTTTGCTTGTCACAACCAACTAAATGCATTGTTTTTTACTGTATTGTCAGTCCATGATGTTTCTTATGATAGTAATTTTATTCACAGTCAGATATCATTTATACTTGTCTCAACTATGCTATGATCACACTATGCCGCACCTTACTGTGCTACCGTTTTTTTTTATTGATACTTTTCTCTAATCCTAAGATGTCATAATATATTATAATAAAAGAAAAGTAGATGAGTTAGGGGATTAGTGTAAATGAATTTTTGAGTTAATGTACTCTAACCTAATACAATGGTGGGAGGGAGAGTGAGGTTGAAACCCAACGTAAACTAATAACGTTTTCTAAGAATTTGCCACCATGCCGCAAATTGCATGACGAGCACAACGACTTGCCTTTCTTGTCTGGTAACGATGTACCACCGGGTTCCAAAGAGACCAAACTCATGCAAATTTTGAAACCTAAACATCGGTACGTTGTACACTATGTTAACTTGAACATGCAATCGAACACGGATTGCAAGTCGATAAAGTATGTATAATAACACTTATAAACCTATAAGGGATGATACTAATATAAATATTTTTTCTGCAGGTGCACTGCGTTTTAGAGTTTCAACTAAATGCTTTAGATCTGGTAGTCGATGATAAAATTCTTAGAAAATGATTTATTACGTAAAATCTATAGAGGCGTGGCAAATTAGTTTACGTTGAGTCTCCCACCCCTATATATTTGGGGTATATTTGAAAAAAGTAATGAAATAATTGTTGGTTAGAAAAGTAATTACAATTGGTGATTTTATATGTCGTCAAGAAAAAGTATTCTAGAAGTTTCTTGAAACTTCTATTTTAATTCATTACAAATAATATGATAATAGAGCATTAAAATATTAGAAATATTTACGGATACTTATATTTTATTATTATTTTAAACAACATTTATCTAAAATAGTATTTTTTGACGCAACGAATATAAAATAAAATTACATAGTAGATGCAGTGGATACTCTCAAAAAAAAAATACAATAATTTAAAAAAAATTGCACAAACTAAAAAAAATACTGCTACAAATGGGAAATATTGCGACCAGTTCCGATTATGGCTTTTCCCCGACAATCGTCGTATCAAAAACGTAAGACGGACAGGGGCGCCTAGAATTCTGGAACCCTTCTTGGAATTAAGGTCAGTCGGAAATCACAGAAACAAAGATAATAAAATTATTTATACCACACTTAAAAATATAATATACAATGATACGTTTAGTGGCGTTCAGTGCATCTTAGAACTAAAAAGGGTGGAAAGCGCAGTGTACACAATTTGATATCTGCCAAACTGTTCGTCGATGTAGTAGTTATTACACAGATAACAAGCAAAAACTTATTACAAGTTATCTAACACAACAATATTAAACACTGTCGCAATTCGCATTCTGTTCAACCAAAATAATGAGAAATATATATAGATATATACATAAATATAGACAAAAAAATGAATAGGTACCCTTTTTGTCATGTTACAGCATGATAAAATATAAGTATAAAATTGTATTTATAATTTGTATATTTTTGCTAAATCAAGACAGTGTCTTTTCTACTGATTTAGCTAATGTATTCTACTTTGTATGAATAGTTTGACTAAAAATAACAATTTTTTTAAAGGAATATTTTAATATTTACTTAAGATGTTTTTTAAATTTAAAAATATAAAAAATTAATTATTTCGTCGATTGTATTTATACAACCATGTAACTAAAAAATTTTCATTTGTTATACAGAATTTAACACTTATAGTAAAAATGGAGGTAAGCAATACTCTTTAACTAAAGTCCTTGATTGAAATCTAAAAGATTATTTTATTTTATTGTAGAATTGGCAAATTACATCGGTATTGTTATTAATATCATGTTTGATTTTTAACAAAGGTGAATACTATTTTGTATTATTATTATTATTTTTTTTTATCGCTTTATAAGCCAATTAAGGGCCATAGTAACCTCCCCCAAAGGAGAAGTTTCTTAACCATTGATACTCCGGGACGGGTGGTTTTTCGGAAGCTGGAAAGAGATGGTGTCTCCAATCACCGAACCGATCACTCGTTTCGCAAATGAATCCGTGCATGACCAAGTTTCTAACTCGAGGAGGTGCGCATCAAGCTCAGCAGCGTTACCGACTCGGCCACACTGTTCCTTTTGTATTATTTACGCTTATTAAATTTATTATCCATCCATTTAAGATAATGTATTTTTTTAGGTGATTCATATAGGTGTTTTAAAAATATTAGTTAGCTACTCTCTAAGTTATACTAGGTGATTAATTAAGGATAAAAAAGCTCTCTTTTTTTGGAAATTATTGAAAATTTTCAATTATAATTAATGGGAAAAAACAGTAGCACAGTGGGGTCGTGGCACAATACGGACGTGGTATATTTGGGANCGGCGATCGGTGAAAGATGAGAATTTTAAAGGAGAAAAAACGCAATATTTCTTCCAGGTGGAGCTTATTTGGAGGGGCTGAGAAAATAGTATATAGCTAGAGATAGACAATATCTGACTGTGATAAAATTACTATCATAAGAACACTTCGACGTAAATTTGTAGTTTTAATTTTAAGAAGTTGGTGGATAATACCAAAAGTAAAATTAATTCCTATTTGCTTTATTATTATCCTGATTAGTAGTTTTTTGATTTAGAAGTGTAATATATGAATAAATATTTATTATAACAATTAAATATAGAATTAGATTGATATTTAATAATTTAGTATTAAATATGATGTTTATGATTAAATAGATATTACTTTTATGGCTAACATATAAATGTTAAAGGGCTTAATGCAATACTTTTCAAAAAAAATTATTTGTTACTTATAAATAAATTTATTGCTCTACAAGATGATGAGAGACCAAAATATGCTTTTCTAAACTCATTTTGGCATCTATTTCAAATCTGCAATTAATGTTTAGCATATGGACTAAATAATAACATAACCCTTCTGATTAATATAACAATTATTTATGTTTGATTATTATGTTAAGTATATTTTAATTAAAAAAATGTGTAACAAACAAAATGTATTATGTGCAGTATATCAATTTAAATATTTATTTATACACCAAGTGTTCCATAGAAATGCTTAATAAAACTCTGTTTAAACAATTCTTTACAATAAAAAATGTTGAACTAAATTTTAAGTTTTCATCATAAATTTAGTGTTAATAGTAATTAAATAATTTTCTGATAACATATCAATCTAAAAAAAATATATTATTCTTCATAAAATTTTTTAATTAATAATATAAATTCTAAACTTGCAAGTTGAGCTAAAATTGTGAAAAAAATTTCATTATTTTTAAATAATAAACTTTCATAAAAATCAAGTTTAATGAAACAAAAAAATAAGTTAAATATTTTATTTTGAATTGAAAATTATAGCAATTAAATATAAAATTACATTGATATTTAATAATTTAGTATTGTAATTTATTCCAAGAAATTATAAATTAGTTATTACTTTAATGGCAAACAAGTACATAAAACAAAGGCTTGGCAAAAAACTATTTATATAATAATTTATTATTAATTATGAATAAATAGTCTACAAAAATTTTTTATCAGAGTCAAAAATTTACTTTTATTATTTAATTTTTTGTGCTAATTCCAAATCAGCAATAATTTTATAAATATTACTAACTACTTAAAAGCTATAGAATACAACTATAAGGGTAATATTTCTGAATATTTTAATTATATACATATATAAAATAATTATGCCATTGATAAATTCATGTCTGAAAATGAATCATTTAATTGACTATTTAATTCATCTTCTTTATAGTTGTCATCATTATGAGGGAATATTACTAACATCTTACCATCTTCTGATAACTCTTTTAAATGCACTTGCTTATTTCTATCAATACTAGAAATGTAAGGATCCGATGACATAAGAAGTATGTGAATTAAATCCTCATTAGTATTTAAGCGCGAATTCTTTCTGGTGTGATGTTCTTGGTACATTTTATAATCTTTATTGTGACTTTCTTGTGCCTCCTCAGAGACGGTGCTCATATTATTCAATATTGTAGTGAATCAAAAAAAATAGAATTTTATCTATACTTTAATGTATTAAATGATATAATTTTAAGGGGGTATTAATTTAGGGAGCTACTTTGACAGTTGCTCAAAAGAAATAAGTTAAATAGAATATGACGGGATTTTGATTCTTATTTGATCCACTACTTTATTTTATTTATAATATTATTACTCGGGGTATGAGTACGAGGGTCTGTAAGAAAGATAGAAGATGATAGAAAAATAAAGTGATCTTTATATTATTAATATGGGATTTATCATAATTGTCAATTCTTAAATATCAATAATGCCACGAGTTTTGACGGTTATCGATGATAGGTGGGATTGAGTCACCTCATGTGTCTACCCAGAGTGGTATGGTGGCTATACATATGAACCTCCAACCTAACTCCTGAATTAGACACGTATCAACGATATAACTCTGCCAAGTAACTCTGTACAAACATTATCGATTTATTAAATTTACTTGGTATATTTATTATTATTGATAATCACTTGATTTTCCTGTATGCCTACTTAATCTATGTACTCATAATATTTAATTCTAAACCTTATTTATTTTTGGTGAATTTATTAGATTCCTACCTTGATATTTTCTGCTATACTCTTAAATAAATAGATGTTGTATTTTGTGAACAAATATAACTGTGTTGACGGCGGATCACTTCTTGCATATATTTCGTAGTGTGGAATGGTCGAGCGTAGTGAGTGCCTCTGTAAGTATCTGATTGCATCTGTCTTAGAATGCTCTTTATTTTTGGCTTTTTATATTAAATTTGACCGTAGTTCAAAGGCAAGAAGTAATCCCCGACGCCACCGTTATTTCTTTATTAATCGTAATTTATTACATGTTATTTATTACATTTTCATCAATAATGATCTACATATTATAAAATACTATTATATCTTACATAATAAATTAGACATAGTTTATTACCCTTCATCTTATGTGCTACCATTACATATTGTTTATTATTTCCTATTTGTTTCATATAATTAATACATGCTTTTTTCTACGAAATTTCATTAGTATATTTAAACATTTAAAAGGTACATCTATATATCTTATTTTTATTGGTATACATTTTATTTTGTGTAATTGATTGATTGAAGTCTTAAATACTACATTATGACATTAATGATCTAATGTGTATACAAATAATTTATTATGATATTAATGATGTACTATGTATATCATTACATCCACCCCAATTTTTTTGAAAGTTGTGTCCTCACAACTAAGGGGAGTATGGTCAATAAAAAATTTATTATAATAAGGATATAATAACAATTTCGTAAATGTAGTTGATTATTAGTGTTCATGAATAATGATGATTAATTATTATGTAATTAAATATCAAATATTAATATATAAAATATTTAAATGTTAATAACATAATCTAATGCATTTATAATATTAATTGAAATATATATATATATAGAATGTATAAACATAATATTATGATAGTAAATAAGTATGTATAGTACTAAATAAAATATTTAAATATTGTGCCAATAATAATATGCCACTAACATTTTAAGACAGTATAAGAAATTTTATTGTAGTCTGAAAGCTCATCTTGTTCTCTTCATACATAGTAATAATCATTAAAAATAAAAAGTTCAGACATTTTCGTTCTTCTAGAATTTTGGCCTTTTCAATTTTGATGTATTGCTATTTGGTTTTGTGAATCATAATCATAATGTTTTTAAATGTGGAAATCTACAATTTTTTTTATTTTTGGACTTCACATTATTATTGATTTAATTGTAACTTTCTTTTGAAGCCATGGATGTCAAAAGCAAATAAATTTGTGCAACCAAATAGATTTCTTTAATTTGGTTTTTTTTTTTTAAGTATTGATATTGTGTAAGCACTTGATTCTTTAGTATTTACTGATAATTTGAATTCCAAAATCTTCAACTNATTTGGTTTTTTTTTTTTTAAGTATTGATATTGTGTAAGCACTTGATTCTTTAGTATTTACTGATAATTTGAATTCCAAAATCTTCAACTGGCGATCGTTGAACTAATTATTTAACCACCATTACTAGTATGAATTGTTTTTTCTTCATCTTTTGTAATTTTCAATGATTTGAAATTGTTGAAATTTGCTTAACAATTGTAAGTTTTTTACAAAAATGTTTATTTTATGAACTAATTATAAATTTATAAAATTATATTACAAATTATACAATGATGTGAATTATAAAATTGTATTTTGAGACTTTAAGTTTTTACATGTAGACTTGGTGTGATTAAATATAGAACATAGATTATGAATATTTATTAACTCATTGAAATCATTAGAGAAAGTTTGCTTTCGTATGATTTGTATATTTATAATCAGTTATAAATTATGAATGATTGACAAACAAATAATATATTGTGTAATATATGTTCAACTTAAAAATAAATAAATTATAAGTATATTGTTATAGACATTTTTTTTTTTTTATGTTCGTTACACAATGTTTCCCTTTTTTGATTATTAATGACAATTATATAAAAATATTAACCTCCGGGGTCAAAAATAAAAATGATATGCTTAATGCAAGTCTTTTTCATGGTGTGTTTAACAAAAAGTTGTATGTAATTTTTATAAGACCAATAATATTTATTTAAAGAATGATAAAATGCATTTTTTGTATTTAAAACGTTTCTTTTAAAATTTTGTAAAATTTTTGGAATATTTTTCATATAAGAATTTAGGTTATAACCAAGAGAAATAAGTTTATTAGGTAAAAATGATAGCGTTTCATTTTTTTGAAAAATATCTTGTGCTATTTTTATAGTTTTATGATTGTTATTATAAAAATAAGTTAAATAT